CATATATATATATGGTTTGTTTTCAATACAGTGTAGAGTACACATCTTCAGGCAGCACAAAGAATAGTTAATCGCTTTTATAGCTCAAACATTTAGAAAATAGTCCTGCTACAACTTTCAGTGTTATTTCAAAGACTTTCTTTTGTTTCAAGTTGTGGTTTCAATATTAAATAACGCAACCAAGTGAATAAAAACGTTCACGTATAAAATTTCAGCAAGGACCAACTTCACTGTGCCAGAAATCCTGTCTTGTTTGGGGACTCTACCGAAGTCAACGCAGAGTCAGTGTTTTAAAGCAGCAGGGATTTCTGGCCACCTTCCGAAATGAAGGCCATTGGAGTAAGATTCGTCTACCGTTTGCTTAGCAAATTTATGTTTGGCTTCCAAACCTGTGAGTGACAACAGCTGTTTTGGAGAACTCGCAGCCTCGTGGAATCCAAGTTAACCTGAACATTGTCTCCCAAGGCCAGGACTAAACCTGGAGCTGGGCACAGGCCAGCCCTGCACCAGCCGCACTGCCGGCCCTCTTGATGCTGTTGTGATCTGGACTCCTTAGACATTTCTACTTCTTTTTTTTAAAACTTTCTTTTTTAAAATCACTATTCATTAGGTGAGAATTTATCACAGTCTCAATCAGGTGAGAATTTAATAGCATCCCACTAAACTGTGCCTTGTAGCAGATTAAGGTACAAGCCACAGGCACCTGGAGTGCAGCCATGGAAATAGTATCACACCCCGGCCCAAAGTAGAGCTGAGCTACAGGGGAAGTACTGGAAAACAGAGATAAAGCAGACTTAAGCAATAGGAACTCTTCAGCAGGTGGTACGAGGAGATCAATAACCCCTGCCCCAGAGCTGTACCTCACTCTTTTTCTGGACCTTCCTCCCCCCCGCTCCTTTTTACCAGGGCCATTTGGACGCAGAGCAGTACTTTTTAGAGTGACTCGAAATTTTTACTCCACCTGACTGACATTGTTGCGGGGCACACTTGGTGGCACACTGCTGTGGGACACATTTGGTCGCACACTGCTGCTGCGGGACACACTTGATGGCATGCTGCTGTGGGACACACTTGGTGGCACACTGCTGTGGGACACAGGTTGTCTCACACTGCTGCGGGACACACTTGGTCACACACCTGGTTGCACATTTTTGCGGGACGTACGTGGCGGCACGCTGCTGCGGGGCGCAAGAGGTCACAAACTGGTGCGACACATACTTGGTTGCACGCTGCTGCGGGACACACGTGGTGACACACCTGGTCGCACACTGCTGCTCCGGGTCGTACGTGGTCACACACTGCTGCGGGATGCACCTGGTCGCACACTGCTGCTGCGGGATGCAATTGGTCGCATACTGCTGCTGGGGGGCATAGGCGGTCACGCACTTGGTTGCACACTGTTGCGGCACACACTTGGTCATGCAAGGCTGCTGCGACACACCCTCGGTCGCACACTGCTGCTGCGGCATGCAAGTTGTGACACACCGAGTCACACATGGCTGCTGTAGGATGTGCTGGGTCAGACTCCGCTGCTCTGGCACACACTTGGTTGCGTACTGCTGCCGCGGCACGCACTTGGTCACACACTGCTGTTGGGAGAAGCTGGAGGACATGATCTGCTGCCTGGGGATGCAAGGGGTCACATACTGCGGGGTGCACAGTGTCGAGTGCCAGGTAGGCACTGGCAGGTGTCTGGCAGCGTACATCGGTGGGCACTGGATGGGGATGGGGTCCTGGTAGACCCGGGGGAAGCGCTGCTGTAGGTAGCACGACATCTCGGTGAGGCTTTGGCAGGACTGGAACGACACGTGAGAAAGCAGAGCCTTTAGACAGGCACCCGGTCGAGCTTCTCGCAGTCCCACTGCTGCCCGCGCCGCAGGACCCGCTGGCTTCACAGGGTGCCAGAGACACGTCCCACCTACGCCACAGTCTCAAAACCACGCCAGCAGCAGCCGAGGACCCAACCCATCATTTTTAACCCTGAAAGGTGGCACTAAGTCAAACAGTGGGGAAATTCAGAGACACGTAACACTAAATATCTGCCCAGACTGCAACTCCCTCCCCATCACCTGGACCTCCGCAGGGGAGAACTGATCTTGGAGGTCAGCAGGGGAATGGCTGATCTTAGAGCTGCCTTTCAATCACTAAATCCAGTTTTCCCCTCCTGCTTTTGGTTGGCGACTGCCTCTGACCTCTTGCTGATCTATCAAGAAAAAAGCCCAACCCAGAAAGAAGCTCGGAACCTCTGGCCACATCTGCCATAGCAGAAGAGGCAAAGAGCACCCAAGGCACCGTTGCTTGGTGATCCCGTCACACCGCGGGCAGGCAGAGGTTCACAGTCCCAGCATCACAAAGTTCATGCTCATTAGGCAACCAAAGCCAATTAAAGGGTAGCGATACCACAACTGAAAACAAACGTGCTTAATCAGCTCTTTTAGCATTATGTTCCCTGATACACCAAAGCTGCTCTGACTGTTGTCAGGCACCCTCAAAAGCAAACAACAACAGCAGCACCCCCAATTACTGCTAACAACCTTTCCTCACATTTTTCAGGAGTGTCTCTTGGACTCGGATGCCCAGCTGGAGACACTGTAAGAGACTGCACTCCCACTCCCACACAGCAAATCAAACGGACTAGCTTTAAAAACTTTTCCCATAGAGCATTTTTTATATGTAAAAAAAAACATAAATAAATCTGCGTTTCAGCAGCAACAGAGGCTCAGGACAAACTGGACTTACCCAGCTCCCTGGTGAGAACAGCTTTGTGATGTGACCAGTGAGCCCTAATACAAGGAGAGCTTTTATATAGCTACTAAGCGTGCCTTGAAGGTATGAGGTACCCACGACATATCCTATTAGCTCCTATACAAAAGCTGTCCTGTGTGCAAGACTCGCAGTGACTAGCATCAGTGTACTCATCCCTGAGGATGAGTAGTTGAACGTCAGCTCCCCGTAGTAAGAGTAATTACCTTTTGTATAATCCTCCCTGGCATGGTAAGACTGAATGGTATTTGGAGAGGCAGGCAATAGTGGCATCCCCTGCCCCGGGGGTTTTGCAAGGTAGAAGTGCACCCAATAACATACTGTTATGGCTTTCCAGAGGTCTCACAGTCCCTGGAAATGCCCTGGTGGTCCCCAGAAATGGGGCCATCCCATCACTTGGCCTCTTTCCGCACACAAACACCGCATTGGCTTCGTGCCGTGAGAGCTGCACTGACCCCTCCGTGTCCTTCTCCAACTTTAGTCCCTGGTTAGAGCTGGCAGCGCTTCTCATCTGCCCTATAATGCCCAGTGGCCAGGGTCAGTGGCGTGTGCAGGCTGGACACAGGGCACTGGCTCCTCTGAGGAACAACAGGAGCTCCTAGTAAAGTTCAAACCACCCCCTTGGGTGGGTGTAGTTCATCATCCACAGAGAACTTCATTTTTAGCTCACGTAGCTCTGGAGAGCACCTGGCTGTTGGTGTCCCAATGCTCCCGTGATCCCAACGCCATCACCTGTTATCAGAGCAATGGGAATACACCGTCCAGTGACTATCAGATGAACGGAAAACATGAGCTGCAGTCACGTTTGATGGCAGCTCTTACACAACAAGCTCAGCTATCAAAGCTGTGACGGGCAGCACGACAGGCCACAAAAAGCACGGGGAGCAGATAAACTTCCTCTAGTCTTGTGGTGACTTTCCCAGTGAGTCAACTTCTTATCGCACACTGCACCCAGATTAAAGAATCTAGTTAGAAAACTGGGAGATTAATTTTCTGAAGTCACCGAACATCTAATCAGTGTTTTCATGTGTATGTTGTCACATGAAATATCCCCCAAAAGTGACAATTTCTGCCTGCTGACTACAAGGAGAGCTGAGGAGGGCCAGCGCAGAGGAGTGCTCTGCCCCGCCGACATCTAGCACTGGGTGAGATGAAACCCAGTTCCTGAGTGTGTTTACTAAAAACTGTGGTTTCTTGTGAACTAGAGAAATGGCTCTCCCCAGGTGGTTTTTGAGGTGAAGAAAAAGGTCCATAAATAATTTTGTAATGAAACCTAATAAAGTTTACGAACTCTTGGACAACTATGCCCCACACCAGGCAAGAATCACAGAGGGTGAAACGTTCCCTTTACCATAAGCTTCTCCAGCAAGAATGAATCCTGACCCTTGCTGGTTAGCACCGAGTGTGTTCATCTTTGCCTGAACCACAAAAAATGTGGCTTTGTTGTGGCACGTCTCCTGCAGAAATTGGTTCTTTGATCCAAAACCATAGCTCCTCATTGCTTTTTAGCTCCAAAGGTCGTAGGTGGGATCCTCCCTGTTAACCAAAGTAAGCAGTTCACATTTAAATTTTTTGTATTTTAGTCTGGATGCAAGCACTGCCCTGACCTTCAAAAAATCCTTATTTAATTCCATACTTGACTGAAACCCCCCATGTACCTGCCTAACTTACTGAAAGCCCAGGTGAACTTTAATTATTTGATCACAGCAATAACTTGTCTTTCATGTTAATACCCAGGAACATCTGTAAGACTGTGTATCTAAACCCTCTTAATCAGTACACTACAAAACTACAGAATCAAAGAAAGAAAGAAAAAACCCAGAAACCCAATTAGGCTCCATTTTAACTTTGGGAACTTTGGAGACTTTCACTATGTAACAATTTAATGAGTGTTTCACTTTCACAGGACAATGCCTGTCAAAAATGTGTGCTTCTGTTGTCATCATCTGTCCATATCCTGGCAGTATCCAACCTTCTTCCCACAAGCCAACCCTGCCCTGCAGTGGTTGTCAGCTAAGAAAGTCTCTTGTGTTTTTTTAACGTGCCTGACTCAACCTGGAAAACAGCACGAGATGAAGGTGAGAAAAGGAGTTAAAACAGGGTTGTGGCACTGAGAAGTATGAAGAGGGAAGTTGAAAAACATCCTGGAGGAGACGCCAGGTGAGACATTAGGGAATCCATCACCTTCCCTTTAATAAGTCAGGAATGCAAAGGAGCAACGTCACAGTGCAGCAATTTTGGAGCATGAGCCAATGCACCAGGAATGCAAAGCTCCCTGCCGGCTCCAAATATAGAAATTTGGCAGAAGAACAAACCAGTCAAAAAAGAAGGTAGAAGAAACAAGGCAAATTGGCTAGGTGTGATCTGGGATATTGAGTTGAAACCTCAAGTAATGTAAAATTAACCTTGCTCCTTTAACAATACCAAAAAACCCCCGATAAACTAGGCAAGGAGCTGTAAAGCAGGAGGGAACTACAGTGGGGAGTTGTTAAGCATTAAAACTAGTGCATAGTGAAGGACACCGCAAGTGGTAAGCTATGACAGCAAAGCCAAGGAAAAGAGTCCTCCCTTGAAGAAATAGATCCACCTTGAAGAAGTACCTGCATGGGTCTGGGATGGCCATTTCCTCCAGTCTCTGCAAGACACAGCCATTTCCTCCAGCCTCGCCAAGACATGGCCATTTCCTCCAGCCTCGCCAAGGCATGGCCATTTCTTCCAGCCTCCCCAAGGCACAGTAATTTCCTCCAGTCTCACCATGGCATGGTCATTTCCTCCAACCTTGCCAAGACATGGCCATGTCCTCCAGCCTCACCAAGACGCGGCCATTCCCTCCAGCCTCATGAAGGCACGGCCGTTTCCTTGAACCTTGCCAAGATATGGCCATTTCCTCCAGCCTCATGAAGGTATGGCCATTTCCTCCAACCTCATGAGCATATGGCCATTTCCTCCAACCTTTACAAGACATGGCCATTTCCTCCAGCCTCACCAAATCATGGACATTTCCTCCAGTCTCACCAAAGAATGGCCGTTTCCTTCAGCCTCATGAATTCATGGTCTCACCTCTAGCCTCACCAAGGCACAGCCATTTCCTCCAGCCTCATGAAGGCACGGCCGTTTCCTTCAACCTTGCCAAGATACGGCCATTTCCTCCAGCCTCATGAAGGCATGGCCATTTCTTCCAACCTCATGAGCACATGGCTGTTTCCTCCAACCTTTCCAAGACATGGCCATTTCCTCCAGCCTCACCAAAGCATGGGCATTTCCTCCAGTCTCACCAAGGAATGGCCATTTCCTCCGGTCTCTCCAAGGCATGGACATGTCCTCCAGCCTCACCAAGGCATGGCCATGTCCTCCAAACTCACACGGCATGGACATTTCCTCCAAGCTGTGCAAACCACTAGAGTGCAGCATTTGCACGTGCAACCACCTCCTGCAACAGCCTTGCAGAACCGGACAGTGGTAGCTGGGAAACTGCCTTCAGATGCACTCTCTTTCCAGGAAAACAGTTTAAACTGGCAGCCTGTGAACTAGACCCAGCCCAGTGCCTTTGTGTCATAGGATCCTAATGTCTGAATGCTCCTTATTGTACCAAGGCACTGGCGTGAAGTTAAATCTGAGTTGCCAATGCTCCCTGCAGCCCGACCACAGCCTCCTGTTCCCACCGCCGTAAAAGCCAGCGTGCCTTATTCCAGGTACTCCCATGTACATGTGCTTCTGGGCACTGAGAACACACACTGGAACGGTAGCTGGGCTGCACGTCGTGTTCTTCACAGGAGAGTGAGTCTGTTCAGTCGATCGCTGCAGGGCAGTAAGGTGCGTGCAGGGAGGGGAGGATGGAGAATAAAGGAAAGACGAGAGAATAAGCAGAGATCGCACTTTCATTGTATCAGACTTGTAATTAGAAAGCAGCATACAGGCTGTAGATAATAAAACTTAACATATTATTAGCCCAGCAAGCAGTAAATTCACAGGCTTGCTATTTCAATGATTTAATAGCACCGAAGGCAAAATA